TTCATTTGTCGTAGGCAAAGTGGTGCCTAAGTTAATTTAACTGTTTATTGGGGGTAGGGTGGCCCAAAAAAAACGAAAATTTTTTTTATTTAAGTCTCCTATGAAAATATGTTAATTTATCATGTTTTAAGAGTCCCCTCCAAAGGACAGCTCAAAAAAAAATTGAAAAGATTCGCTCAGAATTTTTAAAAACTTCCAAAATCGTCGGAAACCGGATTTTTTTTTGTTTTAAATTTTTTTTCTCATTATTTTATTTTTTTTTTATAAGAAAAATCATGAAGATCCTAAAAATTTCAAGTCAAAATTTTAATATTGAAAGGTCGCTCCGAATTTTTCTATAGTTTCAAATCTAGCTACTTTTAAACATGAATGTTAAGGAACTTTATATTTTTTTGTTTTCATTAAACTTTTTTTCATTTCTCGGGCTTTATTTTCATTCTTTATTATGTAAAATTAAAGAAAAAAAATATAAAGTTGGATAATATTCATGTTCAAAAGTAGCTCAAAGAGATATAAAGTACTCGTCTTGGAACTTTAGAAAAATTCGGAGTGACCTTTCAAATATAAAATATAAAAATAAAATTTCTTATTAAAAAAATGAAATAATGAGAAAAAAAATTTAAAACAAAAAAAAATCCGGTTTTCGACAATTTTTGAATTTTTTAAAAATTCGGAGGGCCCCTTTAAAAAATTTCTTTTGAGCTGTCCTTTTGAGGGGATCTTAAAACATGATAAACTAACATATTTTTATAGGAGACTTAAATAAAAAAAATATTTGCTTTTTTTGGGCCACCCTAATTGGGGGTTATTAAAAAACTTCATTTTAGGAGATTTCTTTGCTTGTGACAGAAATATGTGTTTGGAAACATACTTTTACTTATAGTAATTGATTTATTTTTTGATATAGTTAATAAAACAACTATGGCAATTTTTTTCAAGTAAATAATTTATTTGGCTTTGTTTTTTCCGTGATGTACAAATGAAAAACCATGTTGGACACAAGATGATTATTTGGGCAAGAATTATAAAAATAAAGAATAAAGTGCCATTTTTTCTGAGGAAAACTGGTCTTCGATAATGTAATGTGTCTTAAATGTATTTTATGAGATAGCTCTTCAAAAATTAAGATTTTTTTTAACATTCGTCTATTTTTGAAATAATTTATTTATTCCATATATTTAGGTTAGATTGGGGATGGTTTCGTTAATTGATCTAGATGGATCTTTTGTGGCTTACATATGTGTAACTGATAGTTCACCAAACAAGCCACATTCCATATATTTACATTATGCTGTATAATTTTAAAGTTACTGACTTAAATTTATAAACTAGTACTACTTACTTACTCATGAATTTGCATGTTAAATTGTATTTCTTTATTAGTTTTATTAAAGTTATTTCATCTCTCGAATACAAATCAAGAAATAAGTTGTAATTTAATCTCAAAAATTAATAAACCAAAACACGGATTTACCGCTTAAATATTATAAAAAATATAGTAATTCAAAATTCAAGGTTAGATAGAAAAAAATTATTTTTTATCTTGATATAATGTAAGAAATAGAAGAAGTAATTCAAGAAGAAAACATAGTAGGTTATATTTAAAAGTATTGTTTTTTTAATATATAATGAAAATACCAACCACGAATTTCGAATACCTCGATTCACATGCGAGATTAGTGAAATGTCGAATAGCAACTAGATGATTTTAAAAAAGTGTATTCTCGAAAACAGTAGGTATACGATAAATGTCAGGTGAATTCAACACGAGTGGTCTAAAGTGCTCGAATAACCTATAATTCGTATGCGACTTTTGTGGATCTTAAACAAGGATGTATTAGCAGGATGTTTTCGTGACATATTTTAATATTTCGTTTTCTGATTTTCAATATTGGTGCTCTTCCATATTTATAGAAGAAAAAAAAATCACAGCTTAAAAAAATTCTGCAATTTGCTTCAAAATTTTCTAAACTTCTTAGCATAGAGGGGTTCTAATAAATAAACAGAACACAGAACACCCTCTAATATTGACAGTTGACAAAATTTCTTACGTTGCCACATACAATCCTTTGCATTATTTCTCGCTTGAGATTTTAGATTCACTTATTTTCGAGAATACGATTTTTAACAACCATGCGAATTTGGTATGCGACATTTGCCGTATGCGACAATTTTCATGCGAGACTCGAGAATTCTACCTCTGAGATGAAAATAATTATAAATTGTCTCCAATTTGTACGAATAAGTATAAGCACATTAAAATTGGCGTCATGGGCGGAGTGACCAATCGTCTTAGTTGAGATTCGTACAATTTACTCGAGGTGTGCAGTATAGTATGTTTATTATAACCGACTTAAGAAAAGGTACAAAAAATATTTCTAAAATTAATTCACGTCTATTCCAACAGCCAATAAGATTTTTTAATCCATTAAAACGATACATAGCTAACTTCTAACTTCTCCAGTAAGTGATACATATTGATTTTGTTTTTAAATCAACTATGTTTTAGTCTTTAAATTTCTACTTCGACAATGGTCTATGTCAGAATATTTCTAAATTTTCTTATACTTTTAAAATGATAAGATTTGGCTAAAAATCATTAGATGGCATTTTAAGGAGGTCCTTTCGCCACACCTCTCGCCTCAAATGTTAAAAAAAAAGTTATTAGATTATGACTAAAATTAATTTTTTTTTAATAGTTGAAGTCCTTATTTATCTAATACTGAACTTTTAACTATACCTTACCTTGCAAATTTTTGAGAATTTTTTTTTTATGAGTATTTGTACAGTGCCTCACGAGAAAGTAAGTCCTCAACAACAATTCTCGAATTATGCTATTATTTATTGATTAGATGGAGTAGAAAAACACTAAAAATAAGGTTTTTGAAATATTTAGATTTTGTTTTATACAATAAAATATATATAGTAAACCGCGGAACTTATTGAGAAATTAATATTAAAAAATCACAAAAAATTTTCAAGTAACCTAGTTGAAAATTTTATAAATTTATAAATTATAATAATTTTAAAATATTTTAAAATAAGTAATTTTGTCTTAATAAAATAAAATATTTTTTTTTATTTGTAAATTTTAGTTAGTGGGTCGTAGAAAAAATATACTGTACAATTCAAGTCGATTTTCCACATTGCACTCATACAATTGAGCACTCCACCTACGGCGTCAAATTTCGTCATCGTGCGATATGGCCATTATATCCACTCTTGTTGCACAAACTACTATTATTTCACTGTGGAATTAGAGCGTCAGATAGTGACAGGTTTAGGTGCCCCATTTTCGCATACTAGCCTCGAAAAGGGTTGAAAAGTACATCGATTTTAAGTAGAATGAAAGTTAATTAACGAGTGGCTCCTGGAGGTAACACATGGAAAATTAGAATTTCCCCAACAAAAATGAAAGGTTATTTGTTGCCCATATTTCCACGTAAGCCGTTTTCACTATATGATTATTTAATAGAACTAGGCTTCAGAAAACCAAAGACTTAAATATATCAAGTGGCTAAAGGGTTGAAAAAAGGGCGTAATCTTCAAAGGAAAAATCGAGATTTTACCAGATTTTTCCACACAAGCCCATCAAATGTATGAAAATGTACATCGCCATTAGTCTGAAAAATATATTTTCTTGAATGACCTGAATTTATTAGTGCATTTTGGGGTCGGAAAATTTTCTGATAAGGAAAATCGAGTTTTTCATGTGTTACCTCTAAGAGCCACTCGTAAATTTTCTTTTATTCTACTTAACATCGATGTTCTTTTCAACCCTCTTCGAGGCTTGTATGAGAAAATGGGGCATCTAAATCGGTCACTATCTGACAATCTAGATTATCATTTATTGTTCTTACAGTCTTTTCTATAATATTTTCTCCTTCTTCAGTTTTAATGCGGAAAATTTCAATATTATTTTTATTGTATTATTTTAAAATCAATTATTTTTGTGTAGAATGGATAAATAATAGCATTTCTATTTTTATTTCGTCTATAATTATAAATAATTCATTAATTTCCCACCGTTGGCCAGGATTTTTTTATTTAATTTAATTATTTAAAATTAATTCTGATACCTTGGTGGGATTCCCCACTCGACCATTCACTGTTGGGTTCTAATTAACAGTGCTGTTCTCAAAGTGGCGCTGGTAAACAGTAACAAAGACTATACAGAACACGAGGCTAATGGGCTCAGTAGTCGATGCCGATGACACCAAATTAAAAAAAAATAGTTAATTTTAATAAAACTTTATGAAATCAATTTAATTACCAATAATAAATAAAACATTTTAGGTGCTTTAATAGAGGTGATATCAGGGCAGTTAACATTCATGAAGAAGGCCCGGGTTCAAATCTAGGATTAAATTGAATCTTTTTTTCTTATTTTACTTGTTTATTTTATTTTGTAAATTAGTAAAACTCATAAATTTGACCTAAAATAATTTTCAAAATTTTTAGATTATTGTTAGTGGGTCGTATAAAAAATATACTGTAAAACTCGAGTGAATTGTATATATCCACTTTTGTTGCACAAACTACACCTAATTATAGTCTCGTTACTTTTTAACCGAAAAAAACTCTTGCTTACTTTATATTTGAGAATTCTTCAAGTGGAAGTAGCTTAGAACAAGAAGTTTTATTTTTAATTTAAGTACATTATATCTAAATTTAAGAAAGTTTCATACTCATTGTTAGACGAACATTATTTAGCTATTTTCACTGTAACGTGCTTAAAGTTTAGAGATAACATACTTTAACATTTTTAATTTAATTTTTGGACGCATCCTAAAAAAAATTTTGAAGTTCGCAACGTTATGTATAGCTTTCAATTCAAAAACTAAACATGCTGTTAATTTAAGAAGGCAAAGAAAATGTTTGCTTCAGTTTTGTTGAATTTTTAATACACATTCTTGATTACTTACCTAGAAAAATTTTTTTGTGTGAAATTTTGGCAAAATTTTATTTTAATTTTTTTATTAAAAAAAAATTATATTTACCGAATTTTGTCTATGACAGACGGTATTCATAATCGACCTTCCACCATTATCACAGGGCAAATCGCAGAAATAATTTCGGTTTTGACCACCCGTGACCAACCCGATCAAACCGATCACCACTACCAACGAATTTACAGCACAGCTCATCCTTATCAAAGTCGAAGATCACTATGTGGAGGCTTGAAGAGTACTATGCGTTTATAGACGATTCTGTAAGAATTATTTTACACTAATAATAATATAATAAACGATAAATTAAAAAAAATACGAGTCTTCCGTGATTGAAAGATTACACGCCGAGGAAATAAAAGTCATAAAAATTGAGGGAATGTGTAAATTCTACCTAGCGCGCCGCGCAGTGGCGTTGCTTACTACTTGTATTTCAAAGAGGATAAACTGAATTTTGTAAATATATTAAAAATGTAATTTAATTTGATTTGTTAAAGACTCATGTTATACAAAAAAGAGAGGGTTATACAGTTTATTTATTTATTTATTTATATATTTACGGGCAAGCCCATTTAAGTAACAATAAGTTGATAAAAATTACAATTATGTATTTTGAATGTTGTGCTTAAATCTATTTACAGAGGAATTAAATATTATAATATTATCCAGAGAATTGGCCAGTCTAAGTATCCTAAGCATACAACTGTTAAAAGTACTATTAAGTCTATAAAAAGGAATATAAAATAATTGTGATTGCCTGGTATTACGAGTAGGAACAAAAAGACTAATTTTCGATAGAATTTTAGGACAATTATATCTTCCATTAACAATATTAAAAAGTAAAATCAGGTCTCTGTTTTCTCCTGGTTTCCAGAGACGATATTTCTAAAAACTGCTCCATTGTAGCATAATCATAAAACGTTTGTAATTTAAAGGCTATGTACCTAAGGAAATTGTTCTGAACACGATCGATTTTTAATTTATACGTTACATGATGTGGGGACCATATTGAAGAGCAATAGTTGAGGTGACTCCTAACTAAAGTATAATGAAGAGTTTTAATAGCACTTATCAGTGAAGTCGCGGGTCGTATTTTTAATAAATCCTAATATTTTCATAGATTTACTTGTAACTGAAGAGATGTGGTGGTTAAAGCTTAACTGAAGAGATGTGTTGGTTAAAGCTAAGGGTTGTGTCTAAAATAACTCCAAGATCTTTAATTTGTTTAACACTATCTAAAAGTTTGCCATTGATTGTGTACTCAAATATGGTGGGCTGTTGAGAAGGATGGAACCGAATAATGTGACATTTTCCCACATTTAAATCCATGCCATTGTATTTGCACCTATCGGATAAATGATTAATATCATACTGTAAATCGATAGGATTTCTAAAGTTGTTGACGATTTGGAAAAATTTTGTCATCTGCAAAAAGTAAAAAATTACTGTGCCGAAAACAGGAAGTTACATCGTTAACAAACAAATTGAAAAGAAGGGGTCCCAGATGAGAACCTTGGGGAACTCCAGAAGTAACGGAGTAATGATGAGAATAGTAACATTTTACTTTGACTATTTGAGTTTTATTAAAAAGATAGCTTTTAATCAATTGCAACAATATGCCACCTAAACCAAATTTACTTAGTTTGTGAATTAATAATTCATGGTTCACTCTATCGAAAGCCTTGGAAAAGTCGGTGTATATGGCATCTACCTGACAGCTCATCTCCAGGGCTTCCGAAATAAAGTTAGTATAGGCAACCAAGTTCAATTCTGTTGACTTGCATGCGCGAAAGCCAAATTGTTGCGGAGTTATAATCTAGCGCAGTCATAAGTTATGATGCTTTTAAAAAGCTTTGGGATTATGCTAAGTTTAGATATGGGGCGGTATTTTTTAATGTCACATTGTTTACCTGACTTGTATATTGGTGTCACATATGAGAGTTTCCAGTAATCTGGAAAATCTCCCGTATCCAATGATTTGTTAAAAATAAAAAACAGATGACGAGACAATATAAAGCTGCAGTTTTTCAGGAGTGAGGGGGGAATCGCATCAGGACCTGGTCCCTTTCTTGTATCAAGTTTAGGTAACTTCCCGTAAATAGTTGAAATTGGAATATGATATGAGCATACGTTAAGTTTCAATTCAATGTTACATTCATAAAGGTCAATATTCTGATTGGTGTAGACGGAAGAAAAATAGTCGGCAAATAAGTTAGCTATTTCAGAACCCGAGGAAGTTTCAAATCCATCTGAATTCATTTTATCTGGAATAACTATATTCTCTTTTTTGCTGTCAACAAAATTCCAGAATTCCTTAATATTACTTTTAACAGAGGTTTGAATAGTTTACATAACTTGAATAACACTCTTTGGCCAAGAGTTTACAGCGAGCTCTTAGACTACTAAATAAGGCATAACTTTTAGGAGATTTTGAACTTTTAAAAATATTATGAGCAATTTTCTTGTCATAAATCAACTTTCTAAGATGCGGTGGACACCAGCATAGAAATTTTTTTATTGACATATTTTTAATTGGAACAAATATTTCCAATGCTGAATACAGTGCCTCATAGAAAGTATTTACCATATCAAAGAGTTCTTTATTACGAAGGAGTGTGTCCCAGTCAATGGCTTCAAAATACTGGCGTATGGCAGTAAAATCGGTATTACGAAAGTCGAATCAAAACATCGATAGCTTTGCAAACAGTAAGTTCAAATTGGGAAAGAACAAGATCAAGAATAACTCCCCTTTCGTTAACAATTTTGATTGGAAGAGGTTTTGAAAAGCACAAAGGTTTGAAATAGCCTCTATAGCCCCAATATTTCATATAGCATTAGGAAGATTGTAATCTCCAAGAAGAAAAATTCTGGAGTCTGGATGGTGATCTTTTAATGTTTCAACTTGAACATAGTGCATATGATATGAATTGGGGTGAGAAGTAGGAGGTAGATATATTGTACTCAATATAAATTTATTGTTTCCAATGGAGACAAATAATTGTTCAATTGCTTGCAATGCTCATTTAGCATCTTAATAAAAAGTTTAATATAAAATGCATTAATTAACTATGCATGATTGATTCTTCTCGTATAATTTAAAATAAATCTATTTGAGAATTTATTTTTTCAGAACACGTTTCGAAATTTGCATGGAATTCTGATAGACAGATAATCAAATTAAACTACAATATTTCATTTATTTCTAACAAGTGTAATGTAAAACAATTTAAAAGTTTCAACATTAGCAAAAGTACGCACGCAATATCACACCAACTTCCGCTGCATTTATATAGTCAATATACTCTACTAAAAGTAAATTTGAAGTCAAATTTAACACCGAGATTTTTAAATATATCACACCATTCAAGAGCCTCGTTATTGATAAAGTAATCAAATTCATTAGGATAATTTTGACGAGAAAAAGAAACAACTTTAAGTAGTCAGCAAAGACAGAAATGTAAATATTCCAAAATAAATAAAAGGTAATTAATAAATATGGGAAATAATAGCGGTCCAAAGTTGGATCCTTGTGGTATACCCAAAGTGGCTACATATACTTGTGATCTAAACTCGTCATACTCTACAAATTAATCATGTAGAACCAAGTAATTATGCAGCAGATAAAGTAGAGGTGGTGACAGTCTCCCATAAGCCCTAATTTTGACCTACCGATTCAAAAACCTCAGCAGTAAATTGAGTAAAGCAAGACAAACTAGTAGATGTAGATTTTTGTCATTAAATTAAGCTGCTATTCTGTTTTTAACAGAAGTATAAGTAACGTCATACAAAATTATTTCAAAGAGCTTACCAAAATTGCAAAATATAGCTATGGCTTTATAGTTTAAAATACAATACACAGAACCTTAATATAGGTACCCTAAGTTAGCCTATTCACGTTTATTTCTAGCCTTTATCTTTGCGACCTGCCAATTTAGTAAACATTCCTTCAGGATTTCTGCTACTGCATTATCCCAGGTTTTTCTTCGTCTTCCCCTTAGTCGTTTTTCACATATACACTTGTTTGCCATATAGTTTTTGCTTGTTGTTTATTTTGCATACGTATTAAATGTCCAAATCATTTTAACTAATTTCTTTTTATGCTTTTAACTACGGGTTCTACTTCTATCTCCACCCTCATGTATTCGTTTCGAATTTTGTCTCTTCTATTTTATTATATCGTCCATTATTACATTAAACAGTGTAGAACTTAAAACTCCTCCCTGCCTTATACCCTCTTTGGTGGTACATTCTTTAGATTGTAGGTTTCCGGTTCTTACATAATTTCTTGTGTTTGTGTATACAGGGTGTCCCATTAGTGCGTAATTGTTCAACATTTTAATTTATGTTATAGACACGCAAACAACTTTTAAATAAAAGTTATATAGATTTTTAAAATACATATATTAAAAATATATTTGAATGCATAGGGTTGAATATATTGGGTTTCTGCCTGGCAAATAAAATTGTATGTTTTTTAAATAGATAGCTCTATACATTATTATATTTTTAGAATGGTTTAATAATACTCTATTTAACCCTAGAATATTTTTTAAAAACTTTACAGTGTTGTTAAGTAAATATTTTTTTTTTTAATTAGAGAATGATGCAGACCCTAGATTTTTAGATTTTAAAATTGTTTCACATACAGACATAAGTTACTAAGCTAACGAAAAGTGGTGATAGAACGGGTTTATTTTATATAGAGTATTTAATATGGCTATTTTAAAGTTCAATATACTCGATTTTTTTAAATGCAACACCCTGTATATTATCTAAGCATAAAATTCCTCATAAATTTACCTATACAACTATAACAATATTTTATTCAATATCACATATACAGAATGTCCCATCAGTGCGTAATTGATCGACAACTATTTTATTATTGGAAATATGAAGAAATGTTTAATATGAAAGTTAAATAATCATAGTTAAAAATTATTCTTAAATATACAGCATGACCCATAAACGTCAAACGTCAATTTTAATTGACTTGCTATGTTACATATAGGGTCTGCCAAAACGTGAGGTTACGATTTTCTTAATTTTTTAAATGAAATACCCTGTACTAATTCATTGGTGGTATAACGGTGCGTCTTACGAACAAAAGTCTAGAAATTAAATTTGTTCCAAATTAAATGTAGATTTTAAAAATATTTTTTTTTTAAAAACCAGTGGCGTACCATTTTTTTCTTCAATAATATTTAGTTTAAATACCGTAGGGACGCCACTGATAAAAATAAAAAAATTAATAGCATCAAAAAATGTCACTTTAGGGTAAAACAACGTGTACCCAATTTCATTAAATTATCTTCAGTGGTATGAAATATATGATAAAAAAACCATTTTTTTTTTTAAACTTTAACACCCTGT